GCTGGTCTTGACCCCATGGGCTCAGGCAATCCTCTAACCTCGGCCTCCCAAAGTGCTGGGATTATAGACGTGAGCCACTGCACCTGGCCTTTAGTATGTTTTATGGACAGTCTTTTCAATCAGGGGTCCGCCGGGCTCGGTGCCTCAGCCTGTAATCCCGTGCCTTTGGGAGGCTGAGGTGAGTGGGTTGCCTGAGCCCTCGGGTTCAAGACCTGCGTGAGCAACATGGCAAGACCTCATCTCTGCAGTAAATCAAAAATTAGCCGGGCGTGGTAGCGCACGCCTGTAGTTCCAGCTACTTGGAAGACTGAGGCGGAAGGATCGCCGGAGCCCAGCAGGTCGAGGCTGCGGTGGCCGAGAGCAGCCACTGCACTCCAGTCTGGGTGACGGAGTGAGACTCCAACTCAAAAATACATAAATAAATAAATAAATAAATAAAATAAATCAGGGGTCCATGTGCAGGGGCAGAGAAGACATTCTAGGTGATATATTATGGCTTCCACTGGGTCACTAGAATTTTTCACATCCCAGATATAGAGTTGTTTAACCTTAAGTCTTTTTTGGGCTTTATACCTTAAAATACTCCCACATACCTTTGTGTGGCTCATAGTTGAGAGGACGAGACAAACTTGCTTTAAGGTCAAACACTGGTTTCTTACTGGAGACTGGAGTCTGTGTTGCCTCAGTTGTCAGTTTGAATGGGGTAATAGCTAAAAAAAAAACCGAAAACCCACCAAGGGCTTAATTAGAAAAAAAACACTTGTGATAGTTATTTTTTAAATCAAAGTATCACTTCTCAATCTTGAAAATATAATCTATATATTATGGACTGAATGCTTGTGTTCCCGGGCCCCAAAATAATATGTTGCAATCCTAATCCTCAGTGTGATTGGTATTAGGAGGCATGGCCTTTAGAAGGCAATTAGGTCATGAGTGCCTTATAAAGGGACCCCATAGTGTTCTCTAGTTCTCTTTCTCCATGTGAGGATACGAGTTGGCAATATGCTATCCAGAAAAGGGTCCTCAACGGAATCTGATCATGCTAGCGCTCTGATCTGCCATGATCCAGCCTTTAGAACTGTGAAATAAATCACTGTTGTTTATAAGCCACACAGTCTATGGTGTTTTGTTATGACAACCAAAATTGACTAAGATAATCTGTATGAACAGACTGAAATAGATGAGGGTTAAAAAGGAGAAAACAACAATTGAGGAAAACTAGCCACTGAACTATATCTTTCCACTGTTAAGCAGCTCCCTAAATATTCTGAATATTATGACATCTCCTAGGATCAGCTGAAAGTGTAGAATCCTATGAAAAATAACAGTAATTCCTCAGCTTATTTCCCTGATAGAAGATAGCTTTTAAAAAGTTACATATCAACCGGGCTCGGTGGCTCAGCCTGTAATCCCGGGCCTTTGGGAGGCTGACATGAGTGGATTGCCTGAGCCTGCGGGTTTGCGACCTGCCTGGGCAACTTGGTGAGACCTCATCTCTACAATAAATAAAAAAAAATCAGCTGG